CATAATCTTCATGATCGTAATGATAATTTGTCATGTTCATTGCATCTATGATTGTCGTAATAATTGTAAGGAATGACCGAATATTATGATAATCGCCATCAGGCTTATCATCGTAGTATTTGTCAATGCGGTGATTACATTTCTGACCAACATAATTATTTTCCTTAAGATTACTTGTGAATTCTCCGCATTGTACACAACGTAGCTGTATCGCCCCCCGGTTTTAGTAGCCTATGAGAAATCAGTTAGGCAGCCACGTCTCCGTAGTATTTTCGCACCTGCAGTGCAAAGATGCAAAACTGCATCACTTAGCAGGCCTGAACAACATATAACCCTGACATTTACGCGTTTATTATATACCAAATTGCTACTTTTCAATACCGTCCGTGAGAATATCATCTGTCAATTCTCCCGCTTTATATGGCATAGGTGCACTGTCTCCTTTTTCTAGTAGCCTATGATACCGCAGGTGCTAAAATATCGTTTAACTGTGGCCTGCTTACACGGTCCCACGCCTACGCCGTGTAAATTCCGAGAAGTGAAGAAGATTGTTATTCTTACCCGCGTTATTGAAAAGTAACAATTTGCGGATAAACTCGTAAATGCCGGATTTGTTTTTGTATAGTGCTGGCCTATTATGAAGTTATCATGCTTATATTCATCACTATGAATGAGGCATTTGCCCATTATTCTGATAATTTCAAACTTTGCCAAATATTCTGGAACGTTCAAACCCCTCGTTATTAATGTTGGGTGTAGGGTACATGCGAAATTCCGGCTAAAACGTCGAAACGAGCTCGATAGTCAGATAAATATTGCTCTAGTCAATCAAATATTGTAAGCTTCATCGACGTACTGCAGGTATTAAAATACTGCGAAATTTTCATCTGCTATGGTGGCTCTCTGGAATTTGGAGGCTAGGGGTAATGGCATAGCGACGTATGACCTAGTGTGGCGAATTTCCGCCTCATTACCTTTTACCTATTAATGAGAGGAAATAACTGTCATAATTTCCATCATTATGGTCGCCATTTCCATCTTCGTGGTTTCCGTTATGATGATAATCAGGTGATTTTGGTGAATGTTACATCGTTAAGCAAAACAGAGAGCGATCACTCATAACCAAAGTATCGATAATCTTCTCGGATAAGTTCTTGATTACAGTTACGACTGGTTTCTAAAATGATGATTAATTACTGGTTTAGTAAAATAGCACTAAGCAAGGTATTAAGCAGCTTAATGACTCGTTTTCAGTATTGTATTTTAATTAGTGAATAGGTTGTTCCTTCAGCCATATGTAATAGAAAGAAATCACAGTATCTAAGGCAGGCTATAAAAACTTGAAGTGTTATTGAGAAGTTTGACCAACACCTTTGCATAGATGTCAGTAGTATTTTCTCAATTCTCTTTCCGTTATATTCTTTCATCTTAATATTTGTCTGTTGGTCAAAGACTTCTCAAGGATTGATTGATGCTTTGCTTACTTTTTCCGTTTTAGTCTGTAATACAATTTTTGAATGATAATATTTTCATATTTCTGTGATTGACTTATCGTGGTTCTTTGTTTCATTTCATAAGCGGTTTATCGAAATGGAAACGTTTTTCTAATGACATGCATCAAATACGTATAAATATTTTCATTCATAAATTTATACTGATTCAGTGGCAACGTTTAATAGCGAGAAGTGTGGTTGTTTTCTGGCCGTTTTATTATTTTATTTTTGAGGTTATTTTTGTTGTTAGCAAGCGAATTCTGTTGTAGTAATGAACAGCGACGATGACGAAGACGAACTGGTGAATCGTACGACCGAATCCTCTATGCTGACCACGCTGACAAAATCTGCACAAGACTAACCGCACTACGTTTGGCAGTTTGTTCCTTATACGCTAAACCTACCAAATATATTTTTCTCATCTCAGCCTGTGAAATACGTCCCTTCCAATGGCTCATACTTGAAAACGCGCGCGTAGTGCAAGCAGATCGTTCTTTCACTTTTTGTTCTATCAGCAGTCTTATCACTATGTTGTTATTTAGCAGTTTTAAGTTTTGTTCATTGTAAACCATTGCTGTTCAGTTGTAATAAACTACAGAGAAACATTTTACCAAATGTTTGTCTTTTCTAAATTATGTTGTCAGGATTTGCCAGGTTCGAAGAAAATGGTTCATGACAGCGGTTACCCTAGGTGAACGACAAAACTGCTTCATCTGTTTGCTTCTGAAAGCCAAAGATCATTTAGGCTTGTCAGTGCTCCGTGGCGCCTGAGTATCAGTAATGCATGGGTATACCGTGAATGGCTGATTCACGCCATTCATCACGAATGATGTGTGATTGTGCCTTCTCCACCCGATATCTTTGCTGATAGTCCTGTTATAGCCGACATTTCCGCTGGGCACAACATGTTACCATGTGCTTTGTAATTCTAGACCATTTATTCCGCGCTGAACGCCCTCTTTTCACCAAAATGCATCTGGCCTACTTTAAAAAGATTCAACTACAGATATCTTTTGTTGCAGCACGAGATGCGAGTTATCGGCGTCATACCTCTGGCATTTTTGTGGTCACAAGCGTCTAGAAGTTCTTGGTTCTGCGTTTCACAAAATCGATGCAAAGGTGGCTGTGAATGTATCAGGTCCTATTAGGTTTCCTTCCTTTACAAGGAACAAAAAGAGTTTCATAAACCACGTTTTGGTTCTGTAATTCTGCAGATAGACAGATATTTCAGTGTTACTGATGTTCAAGCAAAACAAAAAGTTTTCATGTTCTCGAAACAAAACCTTAGGGGGGGCGGCTATGACGCCAAGACTCACCATTCCTTACAACGCCTAGAAAATGTTTACCTCGTCACTGATTTGTCGGCGATTATCTGCAGCCTCCACGCAGCAGTGGAGAAACAAATAGCTGCAATACACTAACGTTTAACGGAAAATGATAAACCGTATTGTTGCAAACAAAAGATCCATCTTCATCTTCCATCGCCGCTTCTCCTTTCGGGTCGCGAAGGCAGACACGTCAGACAGTGCTTCCAAC